TGCAAAATCTCGTTTATAAAAGTCGTGTTGAAACCATCAATCTCTTGAGCGTAATCAAAGGGACATTTACACATCCAGGTTCTGAGACTTCGGTGTCTCTACGTAAGGAAACAACATAAGATTGCGTCTGTTCTTAGACCATGGTGATGAGAATATTTGAACCTAAGATAGAGGACGTAGAACGAGATGAATTTACATTGCAAGGAGTATGATAATGTATATTCTTCAGTAACTGTTACGAAGTTAATCAAATCAAAGGCACGAGGTGGATATTTATTTATTTAGTGTTCTGTCTGACGACAGGTCCATATGAACAGGATCCTTCCATCCTTTTCTCTTCTCGGACTGGGACCTGTTCATATACGTTCTTGGCAGATGATCCAGAAGTGGTTTGCCATTGCCTTCTTCTGTGTGTGAATGGAGTAATTGTTGGGGTGCCACGGAGGAAAACTCCGTGTTGCCTAGACCACGGCCTTGCCCAACACAAGTTATAAATTCGAACCCGAGACCCCAGGATTACAAGGCCAGCGTTCTAACCGCTAGACCACCGTGGCTTGTGAGGTAGATATACACATTATAAATGTATGGCTTGGACTCTATAAAATTTCAGCGGTAAAACCTAAAAGATACAATTTGGATACCTCTGCACACAGGTAAGAGATAATATTAAAATGGGCCTTAAAGAAACATGCCACGAGAGTGCGTATGCACTGAACACAGAAATTAATCTTTCGGTCACATAAAAAAACAGAGAAATTCTTAACGAGATGAATGAATGAGTTAGTCTACACAAATTGCAAAGTTCAGTTACAGTAGGGACCAGATTACTTGCTAGCTGAGCTCCCTAGCGCCGAGGATAGTTGCACTCGGCACGGCCCTGTCGGTGCTCGGAACGGCCGGGTAGAACGGACATCGTTTGAAGTTCCTATTGTACTAATCTCCACAGAGAACAGACCACATTTGTTTCTATGGATACAATGGCGGCACATTTTATGTAGAGGGGGGGTTTGATGATTAAGAGAACAGTACTGAAATAAGTGTCGATTGTTAAAACCGGATGTTGATATTCTGGTACTCCTTAAAATACATAACAGGTTATTTCCAACAACAGGATGAAATGTCAAAGATCTACAAGCAGAAGAAAATCATTTAATTTTATTCGTAAGGATCATTCAACCTTTGGAGGCTGCAACAAGCAACAGTTACTGACTTGCACTTACTCAGAATTAAATTTGGCTTCATGCAAAGACGTACTTTAGGCCGAACCAAATTCCATCGTCACCACCATGTTAGTATATCAACCACATGGAGGAGAGTCATTTTTGAGAATTTGATGGAAACTCAAGTGGTAATAAAATTTTCCACCTTTTACAGAACCCGAAGACTCAATCCTCTATTTAGAATAGGTCTACACCGGATCCTTCCATGAACCAAATAAACTCACTTGTCTTCTGTAACATCTACTTTAATATTATCCTCCCATCTACACCTACGTCTCCAAAGTGGTCTCTTACTTTCAGATTTGCCGATTAAAATTCTATATACATTTAAATAAACCTTCCCCTCTCGTTCCCATGAATAATGAACTTCTGTCTCGTATTCCAAAAATTTGAGAACCGTACAAATTTTGATGTTCCTCACTGCATAATTTCCTCAGTCCCTTTACCCCAGACGCCCTCAATATAGAAAAATCTTTCACGTCCGGAATGGGTTTTATATAGACACAAACATTTAACATTAGAAAATTACGAAACTTCTAGTCATTATTCGATAGCATATTTTCTAATAAACCAAATCATCCATATAAACCAAGTGCGGAACATTCGTGTTAACCATGTAAGCGTGGCTAACAAAAAATTAAGTATTCTCATTAACTTTCCTTGTTCTGTGGTTCTCCCAACAATAAAACTTAGCAGAATTTATCAGATAAAATAAGTCATTAACCAAATTCCAGCCCCCGCCTCAACTAGGCGGCTGGAGCTGATTAACGACGCATTTTATCTGATCGTATGTACCACATTACAGCGTATGGAGTAACACTCAACCACGAAAGTAAGACAGGGCCCACAAAGCTTCCGGGCATTTATCGAGTATTTAAATGCGATTTTCTGACATAATTACGAAATGATTTAAAGAAAATGGTTGAACAATTTATTACGCGTACGGTGTGACTCAGTGGCGCTGATGTCTTCGGTGGATCAGCCACTAGGTCACAGGGCATCTAATTCACGCCACCGGGAGTTAATTTGAACTATGGACTGCCAGCTGCTAACATAACCTCAATTACAGCAGCTACAGGGCAAACTTGGAGAATTTAAGTGACGCGAAACTGTCAACAATTCCCACGCTCGTATCATATTTACCAACTTCTCAAGATCTCTCTTCTACAGCCATGTTTTTTTCTGTCAATATGGCAATGCGTAAATTATTATGTCGAACATCTCGCGAATAGTTAGCTATAACTGTCCAGAGAAGGCGTCAGACATGTCTTTAACTGACTTTCTTTAACCCCAAAACACATCCATAAATAAATATCAGTCTATTTCCGAGATAACTTGTACATAGCATGGAACATGTCAAGAAATCTCATGACTCTAAGCTCTGCACAGTGAGAAAACTTTTTAAAAAAATCTATATTTCTACCAAGAATTTTGACACAGTAGTCTTACTGGTGAGCACAAACGCTATAATTTTAACTATATAAATAACTTTTAATCCTTGTGTTGGCAACACCGATGATAGTCGTTTTTGTTAAGCCGACTGTTGGTAGCCATGAATAAAATTGCAAGCGTTGAGTTACTTGTGTTCAGTGATTTAATCACAAAAGAACGTTATCGTAATACCAGCAAAAGACGACTAAAATCCATTTTAATATTATCCTCTCATCTACGCCTTGGCATTCTGGGTTGTCTCTTGCGTTCAGAGGGTATAACCGACATCTTGCATCCCCCCATGTAATGCTAGACGTCCTGCCAATCTCAAAATTCATGATTTGATCATTTTAACACAGCGATGCTGCAAAATCTTATTTTATTCGTTTTAAACACGAAATATGTAGAAGGTTTTTTCAGATTTCACGAGTGGTTGATATTGTACCGCTTTTTAACAGTCAATTTTGAAAAAAAAAGTTAGGATATCTTCATGTTTAAATCTAAATTCTATTAATCTTCATATTTTATTCTTTCATTCCAATTCGCCCAACAGTACGCGAAAACGAAGTGTTGAGGTCTAAAGAAAATATACATAAAATAATTTCTGGCTCCGTGCAATGTGATTCTTATAGCACATCTTTGGAGAATCAGATTTATATCTACAATAAATGAACATAATAGCCAACGAAATATGCAAAACAGCAAATAATTTGTATTCTGTGTACTTCATCGAATAAAACTCCACTCTCTTACTTTGCATTAAACATTTATGTCTGTTAATCCTAAAACACCTAAGTATTTCTGTCCATTCTACATATTTACTACAAAAAGAAGTCACCAAATTGCGAGCTTCAAGGCCACAGCAACACCAACAGCGGAATCCAGATGAGTAAAGACAGATCAGAACTCGCACCGTAGCAAAATTATCAACACTGCATCGTTGATTGGGAGCCGCGCGGCTGTATCTGTGCGCGCGCAGGTTAAGTCCTTCTGTGACCTTGAAGCATACAATTTGATGACGATTACTATACAAGAACTTCAAATAACATTTCACTCACGTATGGAGATGTTCGTGGATCCTGGCGTGAATTTGGGGGAGTTTCTTACCTGCAAAGAAAAGCAATCACTTATTGATTTCATTACCGTAACTCTAGACATCAACATTACAGTAGCGGGATACTTTAGAACAGTGGTATTCAACCTGGGGTACGCGAAGACATCTTAGGGGGTACGTGAAATTTTAAAAAATATATATATTATTTTATGATAAACACTGAATAATCAGTAATGTAATTTATTTAATTTATTTTAGATGTAGATTATATACTATGTATAACTTGAATTATACACCAACAACTTTGGGGTACAAAGTTGAAGAGAAATTATATCTGGGGGTACGCGAACAAAAAGATTTGAATACCACTGCTTTAGAATACACGGTTGAAGTTGAATTTGACCAACGAGGGCAGAGAAGGGCGAAGCTTAGACATTTCGGATTGCAGTAACAAATTTCTTGCTCAGTTTAATGACTGATGCTTTGTTATAATTTGGCTCTGAGCTACCAAATTGTTTTAACCTGGTTCCCAAGAATAACAATGACACCATAGCTGGTTTCATTCTATTTTGAGGTCTGTTGGTTGTTACATTCGTGACTGTAGGAACTGTATTTAATAATTATGACGTAACTCAATTAAGTACAGTAATTATTCAGGAGGTGACGATCGCTTACTTAGTTAAGACATACCCTGACTCATGATGGTTTACTACGATCTTCTCTTAAGCTAGTCAAATTCTGTTCACTCCCTCGTATCTAGTGGTGGAGTGTCTTTTTCAAAAGTGCAGACAGATCTCGAAAGGGGGTAGTGAAAATTTTGGCAATTAGGTACGTCGACAAGTACAGTACTTCATCTCACATAATTAACAAACATAAGCCAAAACATGGCACATGGGTACAACACACGTAATTAAATCCAAACAGATAAATTTTATGCTCGGCGGTACAAGCCAGCACAAAAACATCTATCGCTTTAACAAATACTCAGCTTTAAACATAAGCACCATAGATTCCTACGAAATCTTGCAAGCCTACAGAATCTGACGAGTGATAAATTAAGTCCCTCGTTCATATATCATTTAATTTAAAGGTTATTGTAATTGACATTTTTTTTATATATTAAAACGCTTATAACCTCTGATCATAATTAAGATAGAGCTCTCGCCTTCAACGTTCTTAAGTAAGGCTTTTATTTAGTCTAACCTTTGTGGAGAATTTCATGTTGGGACAAAATTAGTTGATAAGATGCATAATTTTATAACTACAGGTTACAAACACACGTCGTAGTGGTTGTGGAACGAATGCTTTTAGGATGGGTCGTCACTCACCGCGAAATCTCGCGCATGCGCGTATATCGAATTCCTAGCAGGGATTTTCTCCTGGTCTGTGGACTGTACACCTCTAATGTGTTCTGCGGGTGTTGCGATAATATTCTAGATTAAATCTCTGTACCTCTGTGAGGTAATCTTAAAGCTGTACCCATCAGAACACACGAAAGCCCGTCGTCTGTTGTTCGTTCAGTGGTTGTGGAACGAATGCTTTTAGGATGGGTCGTCACTCACCGCGAAATCTCGCGCATGCGCGTATATCGAATTCTCCTTCGACACTAGACGGTAGCGAGTTGTCAGCTTTGCTTTTGAGGAAATAGAATCAGGTCGTGCTAGAAAGGTGACGTGACAAAAGATATTTTTGCCCTGCTGGACATCCAATTGCTGCCGTCCAGCCCACAGCCCGGTCATTACACATTAAACCTCGCTGTTCGATTCTGAATGTGTGTGTCGTGTGGAATTGTAGCAAAGTAATTGCGATTCAAGTCATGTCGTCGACTGTTTCTGTACCCATTGTGCATATTTGCAGCCACAGTCTTTTCCTTTGTTAAAATCCCTGCTTTGTTCTAGTGGGTATAAAAGCTTCTTCTATCAATAACGATTCAATACTGCACTTTTAACGTGGATTAAAATCGAGCGGGTTAGCAAAACCCATAACGCGCCCGATTTGCATTTGCGAACTGCTAGAGTCTAGTTTAGAACTGAAAGCTAAAATACTGTTAATTTCGTCTATCTAGTCAGCAGTAATTTCAAGAAGGCCATGACTGATTGCTCAGTTTCCCCATTTCTGTACAAATTAATTCAGCCTTTAAACCCCAATGGTAACCATATATGCGTGTCTACGCAGGAATGGTGTCACCTAGCGGTGGACTTCGCCCGTAGGTTCGTGGCTGGTTGGCCGAGCGGCCATTGCCTGGGAACTTTCTAACCAATGATGCTTTCTCTCCCCCCCCCCTCCCCCCCCCACAATATTCTATTTGCTTCCTAACTCTCTATCTCTCTTTTTAGATTTCAACATCTCTGGTTATAGAACCCGAAGTTTCAACAGCCCCTTCCGTATAAAAAGTTCAGAGGTCAGTAAGCCTACATTATATTTCACGTTCTAAACACGCATAAATTTTATCCACTTTAATAATATCCTCCGATACCCTTCGATCTTCCACGTGACCTCTATCCAATTACTTTAAGTACATTTTGTATCTCCACATATTCAACCATTGTAATTCAGTACGTATAATTACGAAATCCGATATGTAACCACGTTCAAACACTCTGTTCACAGGCGCTTTGACCTATTTTCTTTTTCCAGAGTAATGGTTTACTATGCGTAATTCGTGTGCTGAACAGAGTTTGACCTAGACCGAAGGAATTAACATCAGAGTAGATAGAAAAACTCACCGAAAAATCCGGTTACAAACTAACATGACTGAGGAGTTCCATGGCTTACAAATAACGTAATAGGCCACGACATCCTCCTTCCAAATTCGCACCTCTTCATACATATGACCAAATAATTTACATTACATTCTATAACCAATGTACGAGTATTAACACCGTCGTTAAACAACTACAAAATCAAACACAGCTCCGGATTTATCCCGTGAGTCTTATGGAACTCCGGTAAAAAAAAAAACTTTTATACGCAAACGGCGTAATAAAATTACGAGTAGCTTTTGTCATGCCCCTGGGTAAATAAAGGGAAATGGCCGATTTACAGACGTCAGTGCGCGCAAGATCTGATAGAAACGTTTACCTTGAGCCGTCAGCTGTTTCGTAGACTCGATACTAGACCCGCCCCGACCAAGATGTGTCGGTTAGAGCAGAGAGCTGTCACATCCTTCTGTCAGCCCATTAGCAACGACAGTACTTTTCGATGTAGTGGTTAGCACTCCTATTCTCAATTAGGATAAGACTGCCAAATAAAAAGACGATTAATGCACACCTGGTGGACAGAAACTGAAATGGAAGAATGCTGTCGTGGTACCATCCCGAATTTGCAAGGATTAAGGAAAACCACAAAAACCTCTGTGATGATAGCCAGACACAGGGCCGAGGATGGAAACGTCTTCGAGAAATCGTCTGTTCACATTTCGGCCAGATTCGACCTATTTTTTCCTCACAGTATTCTTTATCACCACCTCAGTCCCTTCAGGCAAGTTCAGGAATCTACAAATTTTTACGTAACATCTCATTATAGAATGTACGTAAACAACAGACAGTCGTTAAACAAATAAAGTTCCAAAGCGCAAGTTACTGGAGGTCAGGATAATTACAATGGACGCCACACACACTTGTCTTTCAAAAGAGGAGCTACGTTTATATTAGCATTATATCGACGTTTCAGAGGTGAATGGTGAATCTATCGCTCTGATGATGGAAGCAGAAGGAATCTTTCAAATGTCAGTAAGCTCCTATAGTCGGCGCAGTGTAGTTTTTGGCCGGAGGAGCTGGCGGGCGGGCCTAGTCTGTGTACGTGAGGTGACACGGTCAGCGCATTTCTTCTGTTTGGGCGTTCAGTCCGAGACTCGCTCCTAGCCTTCCCGTTTAAAAATTCCACCGGCCAAAAACTACTGCGCCGACTATACCACAC